CCCCCCCCCCCCCTACTGCCAATGATTATTCGCTGCGTCGCACGCTATACGGGGCCGCCACAAGCACAGGTTGAACTCTTACTCTGGCCCCCTCGACCGAACTACACAATCCGCGCACGCTATGTACGCGCGACATCTCTCCGACGCAACCGGGCCTCACACACCCACGGCATGAACCACGGAGTGCATCCCCGCTATGCACTACACGAAATGACAACGATAACGCAGCCAGACTAAAAATATTGATCTCTTTCTCCCAGTGCTTACTCAACCGACAGCACCTTTTCTCCCCTCGATTTACGTCTGCCACGTGCTGAGGTGCTCGTCCATCGCCTCTCTGGCGCGATCGGACGGCCGCAAGTCTAGCGACCCGGCCTTAGTGGCCACAACTAGGAAGTGTCTCCCGGTCACCGCCGCCTTCCTCACCACGCTAAACCCGGTCTCCGCCAGGAGGTGGTGGATGCGAGGGGCTAGGTTGAACCACTGGTCTAGGTAGGGCTCCGTGGCACGCACGATGGCGAAGAGGAAGGGGTTCGACCTGAGCTTCTTGTAGCCGGGGGCGTCGGGGTCCATGTCCATGATGGCGAGGCTTCCTCCGGGCTTTAGCAGGCGGTAGGCCTCCGCGAGCACGTCCCTGTAGATGCGAGGCAAGGGGTAACAGCAGGAAGGTATTGGGGGAATGGCGAGGAGGTGGTATTGACTTGCATGTCAATGCCTGTTGGAAGTCGGAGTAACGGTGACGGTAACGCCAGCAGCGCATTGTATCGCAACCAACAACACACGACTAATCGCAGTTACTACGACCACAACGGCTACGACAACAATAACGACAGCGGCAACACCGACTAATACGACATCAACATCACCATCACCATCAACAACACAGCAACAAATACGACGACGACGACGACGACAACAACAGCAAACAACAACAACAACAACAACAACAACAACAACAACAACGCAGCACACACACCTCACGGCCTCGTCGGGCATCTCGTGCAGCAGGTAGGTGCACGACACCAGGGAGGTGCCGCCGTCCGGCAGGCGCGTGTCGGCCACGTCGCCGTACACGAGGGACACGCGCCGCCCCGTCTTCTTCTCCCGGTTGTGGTGGTTGCCCACCGCGATCATGTAGGGGGACAGGTCCATCCCGATCACGCGCCTGGCGCCTGGCATCGACTCGGCCAGCAGCCGGGTGCTCGTGCCGACCCCGCAGCCGAAGTCCACGATGACCCCGCCCTTCTCAACCTGGTATGTGGCGGGTCGGTTTTGGCGCGAATACAAAAACAGCAGCAGCAGCAGCAGCGGGAGGAAGGTTGAGATCAACACGTGTTGCGAATATTCAGGGGTGGGGCGAAATTAGTTTAGTGGCGGGTTCCGGGGGCGTAGTGTTTTTGAGCCAGTGTGGAAGAGGCGCTGTTGTTGCGGTTGGCGGTGAAACCGAAACTGTGCTCCGAAGCACGGCTTTGAAAAATCTATGGCTCATGGTCAAGGTTAGAAAAGGAAACACGTTCAACTGTCGTACGAAAACAACCTCCTCCCTCCTTAACGCTGCCACTGTCGGCAATATTCCAGTGCGAGACGGGGTGGTGAGTGCATCATATTTTGGATTTGAACACCGAACCACGATGCGTCATGTAGAAAGAACCAGTTGCAAACAGACCTATTGGTATTGCTACTGCCGCGTGGAAGGAATGGAACAAGGCGACCATTGCACGCTACCACGCATACAAACCCCGAGGCTTGACGCGTTGGTTCCTCTGATCACACTGTATTCTTCACGGTAAAGACTCAAGACACCAAAAAAGACAACATGAAGGGGGTCCTACTGTTGGGAGGTCTGGGGTATATACGAGCGACGGGAGAAAGCCGCAACAAGAACAACCCTGCATCCGCAAAAACCGAAGGTAAGATATGGCGAAAAGGCAAACCAAGCCAAGTCACACCTGGCCTCCCAAGCGAGTGAGCTGGGCGATGTAGGCGTCGCGGAGGTACTTCTCCGCGTTGAGGCCCTCCTTGGGGAAGCTCCTTATCCCCACCGCCAGGGAGGCGATCTCCTGCTCGAAGGCCGCCTGCCAGCAGAGGTTCCCATCTCCGTCTGTTTTCATCAACCGCCGTGCGGAGAGGCGGGAGGCAGGGGAGGAACATACGCGAGACCGTGGGTTGGATTGAATAAACGGAATGTGGGTTGCACATGTTGCCGTGCATCACTCGCTCCTCCTGCACGTAGAACGATGGGTTTGCCAGCGTGATGGGGCGGGGGCTAGATTCGGCTCGCGAGTAGCAGTGGTACAGCAGTAGAGGCATCTTATTTAACGAGTATGAGTACTGCATTCGACTCAAGCGCGCTCGCCTTCTACAGAACTACATTTCCTCGGTCGTTTCAAGCTTTCACTCGCGAACTTTCGGGCACTACTGTACCTAGAACTGCTGCATCACAACAACAGCGTTCGTTTGTAAGACGGACGGCAGCTGAACGACGCGCTTCGGGTACGTGAAGTCGAGCTGGTTTGTCGCGTGCCCCCCTCGACGCATTCCTCTACACTTCTAGTATAGTCGTACGTTTTCGGAGGAACACACATCAGTGCGGTCAGCAGTCAGTGCGGTTCGGTCCCCTCACATGCGTGAAATTGTTTGAGGTAGTACTCCGGAACCACCACGTTAGTGTTCTTGGCGAGGATTTCCGTTCGGCGTTTCTCCCAGTTCTCAGCCCCCTGCACACACGGCGAGAAGAAGCAGTACAGTAGCGCGAGAGTCAAGCCCGGGACAAAAAAAACACGGTCACATGTACGTGGCCAGCAAGTACGTGGCCCGCAAGTCCGTGTCCCAAGCTATTACAAGCTCCGTTTGTCGGAGTGCGTGGTTTGTTCAAGAAACAGCACTTGAATTAAGTATGCGTTGTTTTTTTTTGGCAAAGCAGCCATTGTACATGGGCAACCTTGCTTCAAAAGCGCACCAAGACCCCTCCCCGCGCGTGCGCGTCTCCCCTACATCCCGACGTGGCGTGGATAGCGAAAGGAACGAAATGAGGCATCGAGAATTGCGAGTTGCTTGACATATTCATGTCGAATCGGAAGAAGAACGAGATGCTGACCATGCAGACCGGGAAAATTGCGTGCAACACGACTACTTTGAAGTATTGTATACTCCGTACAGCAGCAATACCCAAGTGAGCAGAGCGTTCCGACCAACCCGGGCAAGCGTTATACAAGTAGACTCCATAGAGGCTATTTGGCGCATTCCAAAACACGAAGCGCACGGTAGGTACTGTAGCAGCACGCGCCACTTCTGCCATGACCGTCTAGTCGTATTTGGTGGCAGCATGGTGATACCGGCAGGGGGGAGAAGAGGCGCGAAGGGGCGCCTGTCACTCTAACCCCCATCTGATCCGCCCAAGTGTGTTCTGTGACACTCCCACTACCCTACCGAACTTTTCTGTGCAAGTTTTCTGCGTGGATATACACTCACTTTTCTTCCAACGGGAACGCGAATTTGAACGGGCGGGTAAGGAACGTCGGCCCGGAAAATAACCAACTCTCACGCCAACGGCCTCAAAGGCGTGGCGGGGGGGCGAGGGGGTGAGCTCGTGGTAGTGGTGGGAGTGCTAGGGTGCTCGCTCGGAGGGGGCTGCAACGAGGAGAGCGGGGGCGGCACAAGCGGCAACTGCAATGCCTTCTCGGTGAAGTTGGATTTGCCTGCATCACGATCCATCACATCCAACCGACACAGACCGAAGCTGCGCAGACGCCCCCTCATACTCCACCTTCTCACCTTTAGGCCCTCCACTATGCCCGTCCAGTCAAGACCTCTCTTCTCCGCCCCCTTGACCATCATGTCCCGCGCCTTGTTCTTGAGAGAGGCGAACGCCGCGCGGCCGACGGTTGTCCCAAAGTCGTCGTTCCACGTGCTGCTGCTCCTCGCCTTCTTTTCCGCCGGCGGCTTCGTCGTCTTTGGGTCGGAGATCGTGGTCTTCTTCCTCGCCGACGGAGAAGGCAAGCCCGACAGCACCATGCCGGGTGCCTGTTGGCGCTGCTGCTGCTGCCGGATAGGTGAGGAGTTGCTGAGCCTTATTGCCGAGGGAGACGACCTCCCGCTCAGACCAGAGGGGACCACGAAGGCGCCCGCTGAGCAAGACAACACCACCAGCACCGCAAGCTGAAGTTGACCACCCAAAAACATCCTCGAAACACACGTGGTTGAAGCTCTCTGTTTGTTTGGTTGCTGGTTGAGATCAATCTCGAGTTGCTGTGCGTACTTTGGCGCGGAATGATATGAAAGGCCGTAGGGGTGGGCTTAGAGTATCCCGGGTCAGTGTCGGCGGTGGTTTGGAAGAGCAGAATGGGTTGTGTGGCGCTACAAGGCCCGACGAGTGTCTTTGCTGACAGGGTTGAGTTTTAAACGGAATCTCCGTTTTTAAAACGCCGACATCGCTTCGATGTGTCAGATCTCCCACGGTCCCACCTGTGCCCCGCGGCTAGGAATCACAGGTACCATGTAGATGTTACGTACCCCCCTCCAGGCGCCCCGCCCCGGATATCGACGATGCTCCCAACACTACTCTCCTGCCTGACCGTGAACAAGTGAGCGCAGAGGTGTCGAAGATCGAACAGAAACTCCTGGTTTAGTGTACGTGACTGCTGTGCAACGGAGAACTGACGCGAACAGGAGCTGCCTCGCTGTTGCTTTTGGAAATTTAGAAGAGGGCTATCTGCCGCTGCTGCCGTGCCAATTGCTGGAGGGAGCTAAGCTCTTGCGTGGGAACCGCTTAGCGTCATCATGTCGGGCTTTGGAGGGGGAGGACACGGGGGGGGGGGTAGGGTCAAGAAGGTTATGACCCAGCCGATCTCTCTTATCTTCAGGTTTCTACAGAACGTGAGCCGTCGTCCGCACCTCTTTCGTTGCGCGGTGTGAATTCGTAATTTCTTGAGCGGTGCTCTTCCCCTGCAGCGGTGGATGGCATACATAGCCCTGCTGCGTGCGGTTGATATCGAGCGCGGATCGCCGAAAGCCATGTCCCGTGCCCAGCACACGTCAATCGGTATATTTTTTAATGGCGTTTGCTGTCGTTGGTGCTCGGGTGTATATTTCATCCAAGATCTGAAAAATGTTTCACACGGGTCTTTCCCTGGCTGCTGGCTTTGATGTGCTGTTTGGCTATTTGTATCGCGTCCGCAACGACTTGCCTCTCTTCTCGTGGCCCTTGCTTTACCTGACCTGCAGGCATGCTCAATCCTCTACGCATGTTCGCAGAAATTTGTCGAAATACAATGTCTCGAACGTGGAGTCAGCGTAGAAATGCCCTTCGCAGAGATCAGAGATTGAAATTCAGTACCTCGTAAGTTGTTACCCTGCTGCTGCTCTTCCAAGTCAACCCCCCCCGGTACCCACTCGGATGGACGCAAGTATAGCTATCTGCGTAAACAACATGTGAACTGAATTGTTGTTTGGCATGCCGTCGCAACAGTAAGCGAAGGCAGTAGATTATGCTGTCGCCCAAGAAGTGCTCTGAGGGTGCGGCATGTGTGTTTTTTTACCGAACATATGCAGCATAGCGGACGAGTATTTGAAAGTCACACACGGTACCACCTCCGCCCAGCGATAGCGTACAAGGAGCGCCCTTTTATACCGCACACATCAACTGCTGCACGCCTGTAAATGGTTGTTCGCACACAGACGTGTTGGATATCCCTATGCAAACTATATCTTGCCAAAAAAATTGAAAACAAATCAATTTTACTTTCTGCTGTCTTGAACACATTGCGTTAAGTTAAACACACACACACACAGGGCACGTACCCCTCACTTCAATTCATGCACGTGGAGGGCAGCTCTGGAGATGACGCATCTGCCGGTGCACAAGCAAAACTGGTGCAAGATATTGTCGGGGGTAGAGGTATCTCTGTGGTCGTTTGGCGGCGAGAAACCCCGCGCTGGATTCGACTCTCCCTGCTGAGATGCGGAGAAGGGGCGTGAGATGTCTTTCGACTACTACTGTACCATTCCGCTCTCTTCGGTGGCACCCCCTCCCTCTCTTGCGAAACCTGTCTCTTCGCCAAATCTCAAGAAAGAACATCGCCAGCCCTCGGTAGTGAGTGAATGCTGTCACGTGTGTCTCCTTCCAACGACGTGACCTGTATCCTTATCTGCGCTCGTTGCAAGCACTTTTTAGGTGTTGTTGTACTACGGAGGTTACCCCTCGTAGTCGAAAAAGAAACATAAGGCAGGGTAATCGTTACAGAGGGAATCCGACCCTTTGGGGATACTGAAGCTGTGTTGACACTGTCGGTCCGAGTTATCCTGTATCATGGCGCGGAACGCGTTTATGCATATGCAACAAGCATCTCCCGTTTGGTTCGTGAACACCGAGGTACGAAGCGTTGCTGGCCGTGTGGCACGAAAACACCTCCACCTGTGCTCCTCTTCAACATGGGGCGGATGTGTCCCACGTTGAAACAAGTGCTGTCGACCGACTGCCTTGCTGATGCCCCCCCCCAATCGGTGGTTCTGTATGCGTGCCCTCCCCCCGTATTTTTTCAGCGAACGAGGGTGCAAATCTGGCTTTACGAGAACACCAAGATGCGGATAGAGGGACAAATCCTCGGCTTCGACGAGTACATGAATCTAGTGTTGGACGAGGCGGAAGAGGTGAGAAGAGACCGACAGTAAGTGGGTCGTTGGACACGGAACTTACGAGCGTTGCCGTGAGAGGACTTATGGCAATCTGTCTGCTGTGTGTCTATGTGGTGTTGGGTCTGCTGCTGCGGTGTTGGACGCGCCGCATGATGCCGGACCTTCTTGAGTGGGTCTGGCCATTGTTATTGTTCGTTTGGATCTTGTTGACGGGTTGGTGGTTTTTGGTGCACAACTACACCATGGCAAATTTAATAGGGGGGGAGAAATCCGGGCTTTTTCCTGGTGCTGGTGCTGGTGCTGCTGGTGCTTCTGCTGCTGCCATCAGGGTGTGTGTGGTGATTATTATACTCATGCCACGCTTTTTTTTTGGGGTTGCGCGTTGGATTTCAATGGCTAAAAAAACTTGTGTGTGATGGCTCGTATATATGTATCGGCAGGTGGACATGAAGAACGACGAGCGCAAGCAGCTGGGGCGCATTATGCTCAAGGGCGACACCATCACCCTCATGCAGAGCGTGTAAGTCTTAGTCTCGCCGTTTCTGACCCGCTGCGTGTACACGTGAAAGCTGGGTACTGTAGCGTAGGAGCCGGCAGCAGGGCTACGCCCAGCAATTCTAGCGGCATCACGCAGAATATTGCCACATCGTTTTCTGTGATATTCTTGGTGTTTGAATCGGACAAACCACCTGCAAGTAAGGTTGGGGCAGACCCTTTTTTGATTTGTTTCTGTGTGGTTTGGACGCTTGTGCGACTTGACGCGTTGTGGTTGTCGTGAAACGTTGAATCTCTCATCGACGAAACCACTTGTCACGCCTTCCCTCCTTATTTTCACTTGTTCGCCCGCCGCCCTCGACTTCTATATGCTTCACCACAGCGAGGTCTAGCACTACATGCGAGCGCTGGGTTTTCGGGGGGTGGGGGCGTTAACCATAATGGCAGCGTCTGGGGCAGGGGGTGGTCCAGGGCGTTCATCACAGGGCCGGGTGTACACGTAGAGACAGGGGAAGGGTGCTCGGCAATAGACAGACAGGTGCACAATGCCACGGTTGGAAGGCTCCCTTCCCGTGCTCTCTTCTGCTGGTGACGCCGCCAAGATGGCACCCGACCGTGATATCTATCCGTGTATGGTCTCTTGTGCGCTACCTGGTGTGCTTGCTGAGTGTTGGCTGCAACGAGGCCCGACTGGCATGCTTGTAGGTTACATTGCTGAGCGATTTGTTTTTTCTGGCGCATGCCGGAGAGGAATCCCAATGTGTGACCACGGACTGGAGGTCCCTCCTTCCCGGCAGAAATGCTGTGAACTGTGACCGCTGATTTGAAGTATGGAAAAGAAGGGCCTAATGTGGCTGTAGAGATTTCAATCGCACCATGAAAGTGGTGCATGTCTGGCCACCGAGCTGCTTTGCTATTGGTCGTGATCCCGCGTTGCAAGACGACAGGTCGGGTTAGTGTGAGACATTCAGTGGCATTGTTGACGATCTAGTCGCGGGTAGTCGAGGGGGCCGAGTACCCACGGCTCATTTCGTGATTGGCATGCACCACCCTTGCAGCGTACGACACAGCCAGCCAATAGCACGTCACCAGGAAGGTGGGATAGGCGTCGAGTCGCGGCTCTGGGGTGAAAGAGTGTACTTGACGCGTTTCCTTGAGGCTGACTGATGCAAATGTTGGGTGGTGCACGGCAGCGCACCGTCTTTGGTGGTCCTTCCGATTCAACGACACAGCAGCGTATGCACCTCGAACGTGTCATGGCCTTTAACCGCTGTCCAATTGCAACATCGACGTTAAGCAGTGTTGCGTGATTGGAGAGATGCCGGTAGAGGCTAGGGTATCGTCGCTTGGCATGTACCATACTCGAGAAAACACCCAGGATGAACATGCTGATAAATGCGACATGACTTCGGGTCCGGACAGAACCGAGCGTGATAGCAATTAGAGCCGTATGCAGCATGAATCCCATCGTGCATACGCTTGCTCCAACCTTTCGACCAGATAAGGCTTTTAAAAAAAATATTTTCCCCTTTCGTCTCGCCTCTACACAAACAGCATGCAAGCCTCTTTCATCCCAGGTATTCCCCCCGTGGCTGCTGGTACTGCCAGCAACGTGATTTTCGCGCTCACGGAAAAGAACCTTTTGTTCTTTACAGGTATTATCTAGCGTTGGTCTGCACCATGCTGTGTAGCAAGGTGCCATAGAGCGGACGCTCTTGACACGTTAGCTCTACCAACTTTCTTTGGGTAATTCGTTCCATGACATCTATGGCTGAGTCTCTATTCTGTGGCATCGAATACCTACTTCCCTCCCTTCGAAAACGCCCCCC